TCCTATCTCAACTATGCCGTTATCAACTCCACTTGTACCCGAATCTATCACAACTACCATTCCCAAACCCACAGTAGAAGTCAATTTATCTAATACAGGGGCTACTACTGTGACTGAACCTCCAGTCATCAACTTACCACCTTCACCAACCCAATCCTCCGATTCTGCAGCCACTCTTGGGGGAGATGATCAAGATTTTGATTCTACCTACTACAGCCCTTATCGAATTCCATCTGAAGATACAGCTGATGCTTCTGTCACAAGTCAGCAGATCCAAGACATTCATGAAAAGCTGGATAAACTGCTTGCTGATAGCAAAGCTTATGTGGTTATTAAAGCTTTTCTGGAGACGGCTCTTCAACAGTACACGGATGCCATTGATAAATCTACAGCGGCTGTGGATGAGTCTGCTTCTACTTGTCAGAAGGCCACCAAGGAAGTTTCTGAGGTTGTTCATATAACTCAGATTTTCCTTGACTCTTTAAAATCTCATGCTGACACCAATGCAGCAAAATATCAAGCTTCAGTGGATTCCTTCTCCAAGTCTCTTCGAGAAGAAACTGACAAATTTCAAGCTGTTCGTACTGAGCTTCAAACAGAAACCACCTCCTTTTTACACTCTGTGGACTCTCGGTTTGATGCTCTAACTGCAAATCTAGCAACTGAGAGTGCCCTGAAGGAGGATCTAGTCACACAGCAGGCCACTATTGACATACAGAAGGTGCAGCTCGCCCAGGTAGAGAAGGAAATCTCTCTGTTAAAAACTCAAAGGGCGGTGTACAAAATTTGTGCAGGAGATGTTAAGGATATGCTGACCAACTTGCTGGAAGCTCATGATCCTATCCTAACCTTGACAATTCGAAAACATCTTCAATCCAAACTCCTACCTGCCATTTCCATACTTAGCGAGATGAAGGGTGTTTCGAAGGGGTTCATACCTCTAAAAAAAGGGGGAGAGGGTCGTGCACAACAGGTAAAAACAGAACCGAAGGTTAATTTAACTTCGGTTTCTGAGCAAAAGTTGAAGCAGAAAGAGATTCATATTCCAACTGATAGTGATACAGAAGAAGAGACTATTGCAGATGCTCTCAAGAGGAAGAAGAGAGACAGAGAGTTGGACAAAACCATGAAAGTGGCCAGAGAGACTGAAGAAAGAGAGAAGGAGAATAAGGAATTCGAAGAGGCCTTGCAGTGCAAGAAGGCTCTTTTCCGGAATGGGACAGTGATACACTTATCAATCAGGCGATTGAGTTTCCATCTGTCTATTGGTTGGAACCAGTTGCTTCATTTGACTGTGAAAACTCTAGAGACTCGCAGTTTGACATGCCCATAACCAGAAAAGCATTCACTTTCCATTACTTTGAGGCAACTACTGAGGTCCCATATCCACATTCTAAGGTTGACAGAGAGCCGATAGATTTTTATTTGAAGAATGGTCAACCGCAGTACTTGACATGGAGCGCATAGAAAATTACTAAAGTCAAGGTACTGAAACCTTTATCTACAGGGAGATTTATCAATGTTAATTTCAAGATCAACCGTGGTTCAGCAAACACAGAGTCTTTTATCTCTCTGGCAGATCTTCCCAACCTTAATCCACACGATTGGATTCTGCTATACAACATTCTGCTCTCTCATCCCAGGGAGTATGAGCCAATTCTTGAACACATTAAAAGAATGTTGGCCTCCTATATTCATAAGCTAGCAACCATGGATCAGGAGATAGCTAAGGTTATGAACAGAAAGCCTACTGTGAAGCCGACGTCTAAACCTAGTGATGTGAACAAAATGAAATTGGGGAAAATTGATTCAACAAATCTGACAGTTATCTTCACTAAAGGTGATAGACATAAGTTTCTGTTCGCTTTGGTCGATAAGCATCTGTTTTCAACAGATTGCTTGGAGCATATTATAAATATCATTCATCGATGCAAGCAGAACTCAGTGACTGACAAGAAGAACTTCACATATATGCTTCGGTGGTATATTACGTTTCAACATCATATTCTGGCCATTATACCGATGGTTTTTAAAACCGTGAAGAAGCCTTCTGTTGTTAAGAGGGAATGAAGTTTCCGCTCCAAGGACGCAAAGGGGGAGATTGTAGAGTATATTTGTGCTGCGTCTTGGGCTAAGTGTTTTGTAATCCGGATTGGGCCTGTCCATCCGTGTCTATCTAGATTAGTTACGTAGTTATCTAGATTGATTGCTAGGGTTATAGTATACATATATATATATATATATATATATATATATATATATATATATATATATATGCGTATATTAATAAGTTTTTCATTACGTTGATTTTTGTAACCCTAAACGTCTCTACAGATTGAAGTTCTTTATCGAGCTCTTCTGAGGTGTTATTGCATTAATCATTCGACACATTCAACGCAATACTTGTGTTCTTATTACGTTCTTATTTTATATCTTGCTTAGAATCATACAATCCTAACAGAACTTTGTTCTAACAAAGACAATACCCTACTCAAAAGATCAAAGTTCTACAAATATTTTCAAGCAAATAAGCTCTTAAACTGGTTTTTGGAGAAAAAATTGCTTTGATGGAGGTGTTTAGTGATAAAACAACCAAATCAACTAAAGAAAGAAAGGTTTGAGGTTGTTTGCTATAAAATGTTCTTTGTTGATTTATTTCAAATGTAATCAAATATTGTGGTGGGATTTTCCAAGTCACAAGTTATTGATGAAAACGCATGTCCTTCAACACAATTACACATAAAGCATCGACAAGCAAACAAAAAAGTGCTTTGCAACTTGATTGTTGAGGTTACACCTAGAAATGATAGTAGAGACTACCGAAGAAGTGACATCGTTAGAGATATGAATTCAAAATACAAAATTAATATCACAAACCACAGTTTGTATTCTCCAACTTAAAAATGTTTTTTTTTAATTATGTTTACTTTTGATAGGACGATGTAGGAACATTGAATGAACAAGTAATTTGTCCCCTATTAGTACAATGTCATTTAAAAAATGTTGAATACAGCCGCCTGAAAAAAACTCATGGGGAAAACTTTGTATTCCACTAGATGTTCTTACAATTTATTTTTCGACCATTTAATGTTTTCAACCGCCTTAAAAGTTTTATTCGCATGCTGAAGCAAATAATTTGTCTAATATTGAATATCGTGCGTTATAAACCAGTAAAAATATATCAAATATGAAGAAAAAAAAAACCTAATACACAAGTCACTAATACTAAATATTGTGCATTATAAACTAGTAAAAATATATCAATTTTGGGAAAACTATGGAAAAAATGAATGTATAAGTTATAAATACAAGATGTATGCATCATGGATTTGTGCACGATACAATATAAAACTACATGTAGAAGTCACTGATACAAGTTATATTCACATATGAGATGTATTGACATAGATTTAAGTTAAATTACATGTTATTTCCTCTCAAATCTCAATCACATAAGGTAAATTACATGTTATTTCCTCTCAAATCTCAATCACATGCGATTTCCTTTAATGTTTCGGTACATATTTGTTTTTGCACCAAAACTCACATATAATTTTATTCTAAATGTATAAAACCTATTAAGACATGAAACACTTACATATTCTTAGAGAGTGGAGGGAATTTCTTTAAGTTGAAATTAAAACCATGATTATTTCAAGATTTTAGGGTTTACAACTGATTCCACTAACCATTAAGATAAGTTTGCGGGTAACATACATGAAATTGTAGATGATTTTAATCACCTACGACTCTGATGTTAAATTTGAAATACACTTAATTTTTGACTATAAACTAAAAATAATTAATATTTTAGGATATTTTTATAATTTCCTCTTATTTTATTTTTTTTTTAAAACTGACCAAACACGATAATGAAATTTAATAATTAATTCCATTACATAGTACCACACATGCTATTAAGTCCATAACACTATCTTAAAACCACGCCAATGATGTAGCACCGGATATAACAAACTCGATTAAATTATTCGGTTAATAACATCTTTAAATAAACATCTAATTCTTTTATTTTAAACCAAACAAAGTCATTGATTCTGATTTAATTCAATTCCATAAACTAATCATCAAAATACCGAAACCCGTGATCCTAATTTATACCAAACACAAAATACAAATGTATCAAGTTTTATCTACTAGATTTCGTGAGACAACATACATATCTTTATAATTATAACAAGTTGTTTGTGGAATATATTTTAAAATGCCAACTTGTATTTTATATATAAAAAAAATAAAAAAATGGAACACGATAATTTATCCAGTTATGTGATGTGGACCATAACATACAAATTTAAAAGAAATTCAAAATTTAAATCTTATCTAACATAAATCTATACTTTAGATCATGTTCGTATTCTTTTAAAAATATATGCATTTTTTTCGTTTAAAAGTAAAAATAAACGTGATTCATTTTTTTCGTTTAAAAGTAAAAATAAACGTAATTACATGAATCCATTGAATTAAAAAATGAAAATAAATAAATAAATAAATAAAAATTTGACAAAACTGCAAAAATGGATCATGTAATTAGCTAAAATTTATTAGTTTAGTTCAAAAAGGTCTGGATTAGCACAAAAAATCCAAACTTTTCATTCTATTGCGAGTTTGATCCAATTTACTTTGAACTTTTTAATATGACGATTTTGCCCTTATTTTTTTCTTTTTTAGTTTTTTTATTTGTTTAAATACTTTTATGATTAAAAAAATAAAAAATAAAATTCATATTTTTCTCTCTCTCTCTCTCTCTAACACACACACACACAACCAAACACTACGATGGGTATTTCTTATGGCCCTTCGACTACATCGATTACTCTGTGAAATCGAGTCCATGAATGGGTAGTAACGACGATGTAGTTGGTGAATTAGCTAAAGTTGCTTAAGTGGATGAAAATTAATTAGGTCTTTATCTTTCTACATGGGATATGAACGAATCTACGGAAAAACCCTAGAGTACAATGAATATTACATGGCTCAAATCAAATGACTGAATTGCTCACCAGGTAATTGAACTTCCCCCATTTCTTAATTTTCCTTTCATATTCTTGAAAATAAACTTTGATTCCGTTAACAAATATGGAAACGAAATGGAAGTATGGGTAAATGGTGTGAAAGGGGAAGGAAAGAAAAACATGGAGTATTTCTTCAAGAATTACTTCGGCCTGATTTACCAGTTGTAACCTACCTCTATCATCTTCTTCGATATTGGTCCAGAAATCAAATGGTGGCACAAATACCAAGTTAGTCTCTCGTTTCTTCAAAAAACCACATTCAAGCAAGGAGAACAATATTAGGAATTTCCTTGATTCGAATTCCCATGCTCAAATTCCGATTCCGACCTCTTCATCGATTCCTCCATTTTCCTCTACTTCTTTTCCACTGGAACTTTCTTTACCTTTCTCGGAGCCAGTATTGTTGTCGCCGCCGGTGGTGAAATGTTCACAGCATTCAATGTCGGAAAATTCCACCAATTCCGATCATCACCGTTCTTCAATGCCCTAACTCCATTCCTCATTATGAAACCAAAATTAAACTCGAAATTACCACCAAATTTGATCCCCAGTGGGTACCCATAACAAGTTTTCGAATTTAGATAAAAATTATCATATAATCTGTAGTTTTGGATTGTGGAGTTCAAGCTCCCCATGATGTCGAAGGTGGGTTAGAAGAATGGGAGAGAAGGGGGGGGGGGGGGGTAACGGTGTGGGGGGATAATTTTTTCTTTTCTTTTTATTTTTAAAGTAAAAAAATACAAAATAAGTATTATAATAATATTAGAATAAATAAAGAAAATACAAATAGAAAACAAAAGGACATGATCGTCTTTTCAAGTTTTTTTGGATCAAAATAATAATAAGTTTTTGATTTTGATAAATTGAAAACTTTTTGAAGATTATCCAAAGTTTTTACCAATTTTATCTAAAATTAAAACAAAATCATGATTATAAAAAAAGTTAAAAGTAAATTGTTTGGATAAAAATAATAATTTTCGACTGTTTAAAACTTTTTTAGGAAAATCTAATGTGGGCCACTCCGCCAGCCGATTCAGACGAAGTCTACCAGAATAAATAAACGACAAAGATTCATAAAAACCGATAGGATTGTTTGTCGTGTAGTGACCAAACTAACACCAAACGCCGTCGTATTCTACGTATAACTCCCACCACACGATGTCGTTTCCTCTTGTCTCTCTTTCACCCTGTCGCCATCACTCCTCCAACCTCTGTTCTTCTGCAAATAAAGATTCATTATTAACGAATCCAATCACACAACTCCCTCCACCTCAACCTTCACCGCCGCCCTCACATTCTCTCTCTCCGCCATTCCCCCTCAAAAGCAACCACTTTTCGGCTGCTTTTGTGTTATGCACTTCTCGTTTGTATGTGCATGCTGATCGCCGGCCACCGGAGAAACGGCTGATATATTAGATCTTCTTGCAAGTGGGTAAGCCTAAACTGTAATGTGATTTCGTTTTGTCGCCGGAAAAATGAATATTGGTCGGCCGACGGTGATGGTGGACTTGCCGATCATGCACGACAGTGACCGGTATGATTTTGTTCGGGATATCGGGTCGGGTAATTTCGGGATTGCACGGCTTATGATTGATAAACAAACCAAAGAGCTTGTTGCAGTGAAGTATATTGAAAGAGGAGAAAAGGTGAGTTCTTTGATTTCTTATTTATTTTTGTATTCTTTTATTGTTGATTTTGATTGATGAAACACCCGTGATTCATGTGTGTTGGTTTAAATATAGAATTTGGTTTGATTTATTGATTAATCCGTTCTTTTTGTTTAAAGTCTTTTCTGTCTCTTTCCTTTTCGGGTGTTCATGGAGTCACGAAGTTCCATTCAACTAATCTTCAAAAAAAAAATCATTTTGTAAATTAGGAGATGAAATTTCGAATTTTGTGTGTTTTTGGATCATTAGATTGTTGATTTTGGATACCCTTTTGATCTTTTTGTTTAGTTTTGGAGGTTTTTATGATAAATTTTGTTTTATAATTGTTCGTTATTTTGTTAATGTTTGTATTTTTTTTTTTTTCTTCAGATAGATGAGAATGTTCAAAGAGAGATTATTAATCATAGACCTTTGAGGCATCCTAATATCGTTCGTTTTAAAGAGGTTTGATATATATATTTTTTATTTCACTTTTTCTTTTCGGTTTATAAACTTAGGTCAAATGCTAATAATAATAATTATTATTATTATTTTAATTTTTTAATTTGAAGGTTATATTGACCCCGACTCATTTGGCGATTGTGATGGAATATGTATCTGGAGGAGAGCTTTTTGATAGGATTTGTAACGCAGGTCGATTCAGTGAAGATGAGGTATTTATCTTGTTATATTATATTTTGTTAAAAATATAAAATATTCGAGCTAAATAATTAACAAATAACATGAAAAAAAGTTAAAAATTCGAAACTTTGTGCAGGCTCGATTCTTTTTTCAACAATTGATATCCGGGGTCAGCTACTGTCATGCTATGGTATATATTACTTATCCTTTTTCTAAATTTGCATTTTTTTTATATCGGTTTGGACGGAATTTAACAAACTTTTCAAAGTTTTTTTTTATATAATAAACATAAAAATAATATCTTAGGTCTTGTGTATAGACTTAGATATAGATATAAAAAAGTAATTCTATATGCACCCCTTTTATTATTAAACCTGATAGGTATTATACTACACATATTATATTTTTATACTGTCACGTCCCACAAAACTATTAGACTTTACAACACTTTTATTTTTTAATTGAATAAAATATAATTTAATAAAATGTAATTACACCCCCCTTTTTAATATATTTTTTTAGTTTTTTATTTGTTTAGATTATATATTTATTTTATTTTTGTCGTTCAAACAATCGTTCAGATTATTTCTATGTTATTGTTTGTTCAGATTATCTATGAGTTATATTTTTATATCGACTACTCTTGTGTTAGTTTTTTGTTCTGACTATTGTTTTGTTAGTTATTTTTGTTCGGACTATCCCTGTCTTATGTTTTCGTTGAGACTATGTCTATGTTAATTTTCGTTCCGACCAACCTGTGTTATTTTTTTCATTTAGGTTGGACATGTGTTACTTTTTTTCATTTAGGTTATTTGTGTTATTTTTTTCTTTCGAACTATTTATGTGCTATTTGTTTCGTTTAGACTATCATTGTGTTTTTTTGTTCGAGTTATCTCGTGTTATTTGTTTGTTGTGATTTTATTAAAAAAATATATGAAACAATACATAGATAGTTCAATCAACAAAATAACACAATGATAGTCTGAACGAAAAAAATAACACATTGATAGCCAGAACAAAAAAATAACACATAGGTAGTCGGAACGGGAAATAACACAACGATAGTCCAAACGAAAAAATATAAAACTGAGATAGTCGGGACAAAAAAAACACATAGACATTTTGAACGAAAAAAATAACAGTAGAATTAACCATATACTCATATACATGGGGTCTATAATAATAATAATAATAAAGAAAAGATGATAAAATGATAAAAAAAAATTGTTAAAACTCTTTTTGATGTCATTGATGTTTAACGTAATTAAAGAGGAGGTAATTAGGGATTTAAGAATACAATTAGCATCGAGAGTACATATAATTAAAGAGGAGGTAATTAGGGATTTAAGAATACAATTAGCATTGAGAGTACATATAACAATACCCCTATAAAAACTACTTATAATCACATTAGTGTCTTTTCGCCCAAGTGACATAAATCTAAAACACTCCTATAAAAAGTACTTATAATCACTATTATGTCTTTTCGCCCAAGTGACATAAATCTAAATCCAATATGATGTTACAAATGTGATTAGACTACAACTCAATACGCGTCCTTTCTTTTCATCGTTTTTGGATGGATCAAAATACCCACAAATTTTTTTCCTTCTATCGATGACATTAATCCGAATCATGTTTGCCATACACATTATAATGTTGTTTGTCGTCTTATATCCAACATAACAAATGGGCTATACAGACTTTTGTAAATTGATAAAAGGGTTCATGTCATGAATATAAATGGGTGACGACTATTTTTTCCTCCACATAATTGGTTAAATAAAGGTAGTAGGTAAGCAATTCGATTCACACAATATCATTATTTAATTGGTGTGTGTGAACAAAAACAACCTGTTCGTTACCATTTATGATACTTTTTTTCTTTAATTCAAATTGTTTACGACATTAATTCTTATAAAAATCATAAAAAGACTTGTGTATTTGCTTAATATTATGTGTATGAGAGATTATCAATCTTTAACACATAAAAAACACTAAACTTGTAGCAAGTTTGCCATCGTGACTTGAAGCTAGAAAACACATTGATAGATGGAAGCCCAGCTCCACGATTGAAAATATGTGATTTTGGGTATTCGAAGGTAATATTTTTTTTTTATCAACTTAATTAATTAATATTATTATTTTATAATCTTTAACTCGATTAAAATCCGGTTATGTTTTAATATGTTTGAAGTCCTCTGTGTTGCATTCGCAACCAAAATCAACTGTTGGTACACCAGCTTACATTGCTCCCGAAGTGTTGGCGAGGCAAGAATATGACGGGAAGGTAAAAAGTTTTTACAAGTCATCGATTAGACACATTTTATATGAAATTATTAATATTTAGTGAAGATATGTAGATATTCGCAAAATATATTTGTTCATATTTTGCGAAATACCACATATTATAATCTTATAAGAAATTACATTCCGAAATAAATATCAAAATGTAACGTTTATGTAGTATGAACCATTAAATAACTTTAAAAGTTATATTTTACGAAATAGATGATCATGTTGAGATAGTTACCTAAAAGGTGGTCATTACAAAACTACATTTTGATCATTTTTATGATTAAACCTTTAACGAATTCAAATAATTTTTTTTTTCTTCTTCAGATTGCAGACGTTTGGTCATGTGGGGTGACGTTATACGTTATGCTTGTTGGTGGATATCCTTTTGAGGACCCAAATGAACCAAGAGACTTCCGAAAGACAATACATGTACAAAAAAACATAACTAAAACTTGTCGTTTATATAAATGCTCCAAATATCTAATATGATATATTTGATGACTAGAGCATCTACATTTCAATCATTCGATATAAATTGACTGGACCATTTTTTAATGGTCCTGATATTTATATCGGATGAGTCATCTGATATCGACTAATTTCAAATTACTTATTATCGTTTTGCTTATAACAAAACGAACGTTTTTTGGTTCTACAGAGAATTCTTGAAGTCCAGTATTCAATACCAGAAAACATCGAGATATCACCGGAATGTCGCGACCTCCTTTCAAAAATCTTTGTTGGTGACCCTTCACAGGTTAACTAATCAATAATCATGTTAATTATTAATTAATGCACTGAATTTGTTAAGCAAATTGGTGTTTCTAATAACTTGTGTGCATGCATGCAAACAGAGAATAACAATGGCGGAGATAAAAACACATGAGTGGTATTCAAAGAACCTGACTGCGGATCTGATGGATGAAGAGAAGATGATGATTAAACATTTTGAAGACTTTAATGAACCAATGCAAAGTGTTGATTCTATCATGCAAATAATATCTGAGGCTACGATTCCTCCTGTTGGATTTTACGATCTTGATATAATG